ATCATTCTTGCAAGTTAGCTGCTCCAGCACCTTCCCGTTTTTGTCATTTTTGAGTAGCAGCCCACAAGTTAGTGGGCATCTTCCTTTGAATAGGTTTGGGCATCCATGCCCTTCTGGGACCATTTGGATCTAAGCTGATGGATCTATAGCCATTCGGAGTATTGTAATCATAAGGAATGGATATATATTTGTGAACATTATTCCTTATGAAAAGGGAAGGAATATGTGTATTAAGAATGATCAACTTTTTCTGTGGAATGTAGTTGGTCCTCTTGATTGGTTGCCAACCAAGTCTTTGATTTGGTTGGTTATTCTGGAAGTTGGATTGGTAAGGAAGTTTGGTTTTGGATCTGGGAGAGGACTGGTTCCTCTTATTTGACATAGTTTGGGAGTGGGGATTTTGTTGGTTTGGTTTTCTTGTTTCTTGTTGATCTGTGGTGTGTTTTGTGATAGGAGAGCATTTGGGAGAGTCTTTCAATGATTGGGATAAAGGTGTGTATCTTGATCCTTTGTTCTTCCAGTTTTGAACTTCCTCAATAATAGGGTAGTGAGGGAGCTAAGCCTTTCTTTTAAACTGTTGTTTTCGACTTCAAGAAGATTTTTCATTTTAATCACTTCACCCATTTGAGCTTGGGCTATAATCAGATTTTCTTGAAGCTTACAATTCTTGTTCATTAAAAGAAGGTGATCCTTTTGAAAATTTTCAAGTTGATGGAGTAGAACTTCCATATCAACACTGGAACAGCTAGAATCATATGAGATACTTGAGGAACAGGATAATACCTCATCATTATCATTTTCATTCAATCTGGCCATGGGACAGTTGTGGGTGGAGCTATCAACTCTGTGCATTCCAAAGAGGCAAATCAGGGCCTATTTCTTACTTTCTGATGAGTTGCCTTCATCACTTGTACTGCTTTGATAATCTTCTGATTGGGTCATTGTGAGCTTGTCCCAGATATCCTTGATTTTCCAGTCATCAGACTTGTTCTAATTGAACAATAGATTGTTTGTACGCTACCTGTCCATTCTTAGAAAGTGTTTGGGAAGAATAGTGGTTTGGGATCTTTAGTTCAAATTAGTCAGAAACTGACTCTAGGAACACTCCGTCTCTGATACCACTTGATGGTCCCTGATAGAGGTAAAAGTCTAGAGGGGGTGAATAGACTTTTAAAGCTTTTTTTCAACTTTAAGACGTTTCTCCCTCTAAAGAGTTGATCTATAATCTTCTGGGAGATTTATAGATGCACAGCGGAAGTCTTTAACCTCTTAGATAAATAGTGTATAACACTTTCTTTGATGGATGAAGTTTGGGCTTTATAAGGTGAGCAGTTGGCTTGGCAGTTGGCTAGAAAGCAGGCAACTGCTAAGGCAACTGCTAGCGAAATACTCATTGTATGATGACAGTGCACTCAGAATCTTTCTCAGAGTGGGAAGAGCTTTCTGATGAAATAACAGGGTAGATTGATAATCAACCTTTAATGAGAGCAGTGGTCTCAGCAGTTGGGTGGTAACCAAAGAACTATTGAGGCACCTGCTTAAATAAAAGTGAAGGTATGGAAAGATTGATTATATGGTGTTGCTCAGGATGATGTGGGCTTTCTGAAGATGTGCATTAGTCCAAGTAAGTGGGAGTTTTACTGGAGCAGTGGTCTCAGCAGTTGGGTGATAGCGAGGGAACTACTGAGGCACCTGTTGGGTTACCACTTTGAATTACAGTGATCAGTTTGAACAGACTTCTTGGAGATAGAGTTATGAAGGTCTGGTGAAGTTGAGATTTTCAAAGGAAACACTTTTGCGTGAGCGGTGGGCTTAGCAGTCGGGTAGTCACTAGGGGACTGCAAGTAGGATTTCCTTAAATCTAATGGAACAGACCTTATAGTTGTGATATTGTAAAGTTCTTGTATCTCAAAGAAAGTGAGTTATTAAGAAGTAGGATAAGTAGTAGGGTCAAATTAAGACTACTGCTTAGGATGCTACTGGCAAATTACAATCTTTTATGGGAAGTGTTCAGTGTGTGCTTTGTTGACAGAAAATAAATCAACACACAGTATATCCTGGTTCAGAGGTGGTGTAATCCTCCTACATCCAGTCCCATCCTATTTCAAATGGATTTCACTAATGTATTAAGCCTAATACACTTAGTGTCAATCTAGCCTTGACAACTCTGGCCTAGATTGAAGGTGTTTCACGAGGAGTACAACACCACTCCAAGCTACTCAATCCTTTAGGTTTTTCTCAATTGATCCAGTGGGGATCAAAAGGTACTCCTGACATATCTAACCACACTCAGGCCGGGAACAACTGTCCTCCTGAAGTGTTTACAACAATATCTCATTTGGTTACAAGAAAGTTCTAACCTCCAACTAGGAACTAAACTTCTAGGATTTTAGCAATGAACACTTGATACTAAGAAGTTTAGTGAAGCAAGAGTCTAAGCAGAGAGTTGTGGATAGAATATCACTTTTTCTTTTGCTAGATATTTCGTGAATGCTCAATAGAAGTATCTCTCTACTTAGGATGCTCAAGCTTGGTTAGAAACTTTCGTTTCAGCCTATATTTATAGGCTTCTCCAGTTGTTTAATCTCATCCGTTGGTTAGGATGGATTAATCCTGTTCGTTGACTATTGACACAGACGACTTCTACATTCGTCTTCTTGTGCTGGAGCTATTAATGCGGTGATTCACTTGTCTTCAATAATTTTGCTCAGCCGCTGGAACATCTCTTCTGAATAATCCCATACGTGTGTCTTCAATGCTCAAGGCCCGAGTACGAATTTAGCATTCAATGCTAGTAAAATTTTGTCTTCAATCATATACATTCAATGTATATATTTTTCGAGCTTCTTTTTGTCAAAACATGTGACATTTAATTAATCTTTGAGCTAAATAATATGAGCTTCTTTTTTTACCTCATCGATACTTTCTTAAATGAGTATATATTTACCATGAAAGAAACCAAGATGTTATATACGGAATACCTTGATAAAAGTATATATCAAGTAGATATCGAATTCTTATTGATGTGTTGCACTCAGGGGGAGTCCTTACATACTTATTTATCATCAGTTATATTGGTGCGTTGTACTCCTTTTCTTTTCCCCTTTTGACCAAGGTTTATTTTTTTCCCATTGGGTTTTGTTACTTGGTAAGGTTTTTTTAATGAGACAACATAATATGCACCATCCCACATTTTAATTTTGCGAAAGTAAAACGATGTTGAAGAAAGAACATAATTACTATATCGTAGTCAAAATAATTGACGCGTAGGTATTAACGCACCATACTTGCTTTTCACTTGGACCGATGTTTATTTTTTCCCGTTGGGTTTTGTTCATTGGCAACGTCTTCCCAAGTTAATAATTTGGGAAAATTCCCTACGCTTGACACACAGGGGGAGAATTAAAGGAATTATATTCCTCTATTGTGTGCCTTCGCTAAGGTAATTAATGTGACAAGTATTGAAATGCACATATTTTACAAACACCCTTGATTAATGTAAATATTAAGGGTAGATGTAGACTTGAGGGGGGAGTACCCCAACTAGATTAAGTTACACTCTTTTCCTTTACCCAAGTTTTATTTTTTCCCACTGGGTTTTGTTACTTGGTAAGGTTTTTAATGAGGTAACAATACTTATAAACTTTAATGATCAAAGCAAAGATCAAATAAAGATAGACTTAATGAAAGAAGCATATCTTGATGCTATACTTATTTTTCTCCAGTCAAGGTTATTTTTTCCCACAGGGTTTTTGTTACTTGACAGAGTTTTGAAGAGGCAACAAGACACATACAACATTCTATCTACAACTCAGCACAAGGGGGAGTGTTGAAGGAAATTCTATGTTGTGTGCTATCGTTTAGATAGAATATGTATTAGGACCTTTCTATGTAAATGATGTATTATGGGCCTATTGGCCCGTACTTGTAAACCCTACTCTATCCCTATTTATAGGGGCTCTCGGTAATGAAACTCTACGAACCATTCTCCCTACAACAATGTCTAATATATAGGTCCAAATCTTATTCCTTTTCGTTTTAAAAAGAAATGAGCACATTGAAAATTTCAAATGAGATTATGAATTTTTGATACTCATTTCGTAAGTTATGTATACTCATCTGGTACTGATTTTGTGTTCATTTTAAAAATGTTATATCAATACATATTTCAATATTATCATACTACATTAGATTCATGTAGGGGTTGAATATAGATGCAGGTGTTCATACAATGCTGCTCAATTGCATGTTTCTAATGCTCTATAGATGAAGTTTTTTGTTCAATGAAAATATCTTGACGATTTACTAAAAATACTTATAATTTTCATATCAATGTTCATTTTGTATGTTATTATGTTCAATTAGTTCTCATATTATGTTTATTCTTAAAATGTCATATCAATGTATATTTCAAAAGTACCATACAAATCAGATTCGCATATTGAAGTTCATAGGAGTTGATTATACATATAATTTAATAAGCTTTTATGAAAGAAATAATAAGAAAAAGAAAGTGAATTCGAAGATATCACGATACTCATGGTTAAACTTCTAATTCTCGACAAAAATATGTTACATGTTCATTAAAAGTGCATTAATGCTCCTCTAGCCCAAGAAGTGAACTTCTTTTAAATTAGGGAAAATGGAAACTAATAATCTAACCTTTTAGCGATTTTCTTACAATAGTTCCACTTTTTAATTATTCATGAATAATCCAACCTTTGCACCACATCTTCATTCATTGGTCTCTGACCGATTTATGACATGTTATTCTAAGTTATTTTCTCATCGATCACATAATGTTAGTAATAATTCCCTTTAAATTATTATTACTAATGACACCACCATTCAATGGTCTCTACGGCCGGCTTTTTTAAGGTATATGCTTCCGCATTGCCGGAGGCTGCCTGGTACTGAAAAACCTCAAAACAGTACGAGTAATTATACGGAGTAATAATAATAATTATTATTATGTAAAGAGAATACATAAACTGCCACAAGATAAAAAGTACTCGTATAACCCTAGTTCTTCTTGTTCCAGCATTCTATTCTGTGGTAGTTGATCTGAAAACAATCGCAGCGCCCGGGTGTATCTCTACCGCCTTCCCGTCGACTGTTGACTGTTGAGTTTCTCTCTTGTCAGCTTCATCTTTCCCAGCCACCATTCCGCAGGAAAAGCCTCCAAAAACCAATCAACTATCCGCAACCACGCAGTACAACCATCATCAACGGATGCGTGCTTATCTCTGTCTTTTGCAGACGCATTTCTGACGCGCTCTAGGCATTTGACGACGTATCTGGTAAACGGTACTCCACTTGGACTGCCCTGGCTTGCGCCCTACTCGTCTCATAGTATCCCCATGTCTTCCACGCAACTCCCCCTCAGGTTTGGCTTATCCGTTGTTCATAGATATTTATAAAGGACTGATTATAAGTGTATTGGCATTAGTACGGGCTAATGTGCATCGTTGCTTGGGATGCTAAACATTTTGGCAACTAACATTGCTTCATTGGTCGGGCTTGGTTACTTACTTTGTCATGTTTAGGACAGGAAATCAGAGATTTTCTATTGTACGTATATTAAACATGTTAGGCAGTAGTTTTAATTACTGACCTGCTGAAGAAACTTATTTTGTTGTAGGAATATATGTTTTTGAGATAGTTGGAGGTTAAGGTAAATATAAAATGGAGGAAGCATCTCGCAATATTCAGAGTACTACAACTACACCAAGTGCCCTTAAGATATCCATACTAAAAAACAAGTCTGGATTTTTAATACCAAAGAACAAGTTGTCAGGCTCTCTCGTTCCTGTCTTTCGAGGAGGTAAAAAGGATGCCAGTCAGTCAGTAAATGGAGAAGTGACTAAGCTGGCGCGGAGAAAAACAAAGTGGGGTACTGATCTGACACAAGATGCAACTGTTAGGAAAGGAAGAGCCCTAGCATATCAGGTATTACTATATAGACCATGAATTATTTTCTTAAGCATTCATTCCTTGATTACACTTAACGCATTGTGTAAGTGTGAAACATTCAGTCTCCTCTTGTATGCATTGATTTTATTTATGAGTAAAACTTTGTCTTTAAGTATCTTTTCTTTTAAGCATACAACAACAACATCCAAGCCTTAGTCCCAAAAGATTTTGGGGTCGGTTATCATGAATCGATACATGATATCAGAGCCAAAAGGAAAAGAAAGATAAAAAAGACATGGTATGATAAAAAGGATAAAAAAGTTATGTTAAAGATAAAGATAATTCTAAGATAGATATAAAAATGATAAGATAAAAAGGCTATTAAGAATATATGTTTATTCATCTACATGTGTCTTTTAATTATGTGTATTTTAATTTATCTGTACATTTGCCCTGTTTATTCATTATATGTTATGGAGTGGAGTATTACTAGTCAATTTTCGTGTTAATAGGAGCTCAATAGAAACAGATTGGACTTTTATTGCCCTGATTTCTGGGAGGAATATTTTTGTTGCTCAGTGGCAATTAAAAATTTTCCTTTTCCCATTGGGTGCTGAGATGCCTGTGTTTTGTGGGATTGGCTTGTAGCAACTGTTCCATACCAGGTGCCAATAAGTGATATTGCTCCATATGTGATGGTGAAAATTTTGAGCAGACTCGCGTGGATCAAATCACACAACAGCTAAATTCACAATCTGCGGAGTGGGACGAGAACCATGATGTGTTGTCTACGTCTACTATAGAGGATTGTACCCTTGACGTTGAGGTAAGATATCTTTGGAACGTGGTAGTTAATTCATTCAATTTATACCTGGTATATAGTCTTCAAACAGTCATATTTTATATGCAGTTGCGGAATTTAAAAGTGTTGGAACTTGAAAAGCGAGAAGCCATCGGTATGTGAACATGAAGTACTCTCCCTTCTCTGTTTTCACTATTCTGTATTTAATTGTTTGGTATGGTATAATTTCAGGTGAGATTCTAAAACTTAATCCTAACTATAAACCTCCTGCTGGCTACAAACCTGCCCTGAAAGAAGCAAAAATTCCTATTCCAGTAAGTGCAAAAGAATGGGTGTAACATTTTTCATTAACCGTCTCTCTCCCCCCACCTTATAATAATACTTTGGTTTACCACATATGCACACATGCTATTTTCACCATTCGGTTTTAAGTCGTACTGTGTTGCTTCATGTTGTATATTGTTACTAACTGAGGTCATTGTAATGAGTAATGACTAAAGAGCTTTAATACTACCTACTCGTTGCATTAACAGTGTGCTAGGATTGAGGGGAGGAAGTTAGCAATGGAAAGGAAGGAAGGTGATTATAAGGGAGGGGGTGTGAAATAGTCAAACTCTGATTGAGTTGAATGGGTTTAGTAATGGGAATGTAGAGATTTACATAGGGTTTTGATGTTTTTTTCTTCTTTGGATTACAAAGCAAATGAAAGGAAAGTAATCTAAATTGTAAAAGAAAACGTTTTTAAGGAAGATTGTCATTTTTCCTCCAAGCATTTCATCACAAGTTAGAGTGATTTCTTTTGAGGGGAATGGGATGCATCCACCCAATAACCTCCCTCTCCATTCACCCCTAGCTGTACTAAAGAAAAGAGGAGGAATTTTTTATAGATGTGGAAGAAATAAAGGAAAATCAGCAAAGTAACACGTCAATCATTCATAGATTTCAGGGATCAGATTGATTCTTGAAACCAGAGCCTTGAGTTCACTCCTTTACTAAGGACTTCCCTTAGCATAGGAGGTGTTGAGAGATTTATAGAATTTTAGGACTGCTTAGTCTTGGGCAAGTTATGTTGCTAGGCATAACATTGATTATATCATGTTCCTTTCTTTCATCTTCTACACATTTTTAACCATTTATGTCATTTTCTTTCAATTTCATAAAAGATCAACTTTTTTCTTGTTTATTTCTCCCCTTGTCTCTTTACTCTATCATCCTCTCTCCCCTTTCCCCCATTCTCATAATTTCAAAAAAAACCCTAAAAGAGTAAAAGGTTGAGTCTTCTGTAACTAGGACATCAATCACTAACAACTGGGCATGTTATAAAGGTGATTAATCATTTCGAAGGAAATTCCTGCCAGGTTATGTTGAAGGTAGCATGTAAGATGGAAATAGCAGTACTATAAAATGCTATAATAGCAGTAATGTTTTATAAAGTTCATATTGCCTGGCATTTGGTTGCAATGATAGTGCGGTGAAAGTTGAAATCATTTCCTACTGCAAAAGTAATAAATATATGCAATACTAGAAGTGTAATGTCTCACTGTGCATACAAATTGACTAATGACTATTCCAATGGAGGTTTTACCATCTGTGCTGTATTAGAAAGTTCGGCACTCTAAAGTAGTAAGAATAAAATGTACTGCATATGCCATGACATTAATGACTAATATTTCTATCCAAAACAGGGGACCTTATGAGGCCTTTCTGCTTGTTTCCATGCAGATCAAAGAACATCCTGGGTACAATTTCATTGGCTTGATCTTTGGATCCGTCAGTGACAATCATAAACGTTTGGAAAAGGTGAATTTTAATCCTGATTTTCCTTGAGTGGTAAGTTCTGGTTCCAGCTATGCCTATCTCTTTTTAATTTTTTTATTCAGGAAACTGGAGCTAAAGTAAAAGTATATGGTATTAAAGAAGACACTGGACAAAAGGTAACTCATGCACCATAACTTGGTATCAGTTTGCCCCAATGGGAATTCATGCACATGCACGCAAGGGAACTCCTTGCTCCTTAAAGCTGACACTGGATCTATACTTTATGCTCTAAAATTAGACCTCCCACACAGTAACGGCTGTAACACACACATGCTCACATCACTAGGTTTTAGTAGTCATCTGATTTTTTTGTAATTTGTATACAACTTTTTAGAACATGGTGAACCATACAATACATATGTAGTTGAAGCAATCGTATTCTATTGCATCAATGGGGCTAGCTACATTAATACCTAAGTATTTCCCATGGTCAGCCACTGAGTCCTTCAATTTTCATTCTTTTTGTCATGTATCATGTGCGCATTAAGCCCAACACTTTGGTATCTCTCTTTAAAGTATCATTCCATGTCATTTTTCTCTTACCATGACTTATATTTAAATCTCCAACACTTTAAGGCTTAACTCTTCATATCAAGGTACTTGCTTTTTTATGGTGGACATGCTTGATGTAAGCATGTAACATCTTGTTCCTTACTTTATCTTCAACAGTTGCTTCACTCACCCACTCTTCGTTGTACAGCACTGTATTTTCTAATCTTACAACATCTCTGCTGAAACATACTCATCTTCATGTTGCTCATCTTCTTTATGAAATCTTTCTGTCTTGTTCCTGTCTCCCCTGTTCATTTAAGTTAAACAGCAATGTTTCTACGTGTCACATCTTTGTCAGTATCTTCATTTATTTGTATAAAAGATCCCAAAATCTTGAAACAGTTGTGCATTGACATCCTTTTCATCTAATTCCTCACGACCTTTATTTTTTTGTCTTTGGTGGTGGTTAATTTACACTCAAAGTACTCTGTTTGACATTGTCTTATTCTAATCTTTGGGATTCTAACACGTGCCACCATTCCAATATAGGATTTATCACTTTCTTAGATCCATCAATCACATTATCATCTGCATAACATTAATTTTAGGTAAATAATGTTGTTTAATTTGTATCATTAATTTATAGTGTTAATGAACATTGGATGATTAATTGATATTGTTTTTTAATTTATTATGTCAATTCACTTTATCAGAAAACAATTTTAAATTGTTTGATACAGTATAAATTGAAGGTCATCGTAGTTGGGAGTAAGATGTACATATGATGGTGATGATGATCTTTCAATTAATTAAAGAAAGTCAGAGCATTATTTTGATAATTGAACTGTGTTCAACACTATTTACTCACAGTAGCTCGGGAAACTTCCGGCCACCGGACCGTGCTCTTATCATGCAATATAATGTATAAAGGAAGATGAAATAATGTAGAAGAGGATTATCCAACATAATGTAGATGAGATTGGTGTTTGTATTTCATGTATTTAATTATAAAAATAAAGAAACACTATTCTTGTCTATATTATGTTGGATAATCCTCTTCTTTGCTAAGATGAAGGATCATGGATTGCATGATACACTTTACTATTTTAGCTTATTCAAGCAATAATTCAATATTCAGTTAAGACTCAGCTACTGATTTCTTTAATTAATAATCACAACCTTTACCGAATAGACACATACAATACTTGAATAAAGTGTTTCAAGTAATAAGGCACTTCTAACTATATGAAATCTCTCAGATGTTGTTCATGATGTTCTCTACTTTTTTAATCATGTAATTTATCATGTTGTACCTTTTTTGATGTATATCTTAAGCATTTATACATTTGGCATCAGTGAAGTCCTATATTGCCTTTCTGGGGGGTCCTTCACACGATAAATTCTTATGGCTATAATAACAGAATATAATTTGATATTCTCTGGGCACCACTTGATTGAAAAAGTTGAAAAGAAAAGCATGTCTGATGTCGTTGTGAAAAGATCTAAAGGTATTTAGTTTAATACTTTTAGTCTCTGTCTAATGGATATGACCTTTTGGTCATGAAATACTTGTGATGTTTTCTATTTTATTCACTCATTTCCTCAATAGGATTACTCTCTAGATAGATTATCTTAATAAAAGTATGCATTGAAGATTGTAAGTTGTTGTCTCTTTTAATTAGAGAACTGTCAATAGATTAAATGTTAGAAACAAGACAACTCAAGTAAAAATTATTCTTCTAGAAATTCAAGCAATTTGTCATTGGGGGATTGTTTTCCTGATTTACTACCGAGTACTACCTTTGTCCCTCTAAGATTGGGAAAAGAGGGGGTTGTGTGGTTTTTAAGAAAAGTAGAGTTATGTGGTTGGTATTACAACAACAACAACATCCACGCCTTAATCCCAAAAGAATTTGAGGTTGGCTAACATGAATCGATCTACGATATCGATGCCAAAAAGAGGAGACTGACAAGAAAAGAAAGAAAAAAAATAAAGATAAATAAATATAAGATAGCAATAACACAAGAAATATAAGAAAGATAAAAGATAAAAGATAAAAGAGCATAAAAAACCTAAAAGATAAAAACAACATAAAAAAGATAAGGAAGATAAACGATAAAAGAAAAAAGAGATAAAAGGTAGACAAGACATCAATTGTCCACGCAGATGTGCGCCCTCCACTTTGCTCTCTCCAAAATCATACTCTCATCCAACCCAAGAAGATGCATATCAGTTCTGATTTCTCTAATCCAAGTCTGTTTGGTCTTCCCCTCCCTCTCTTCTCTACCTCTTATCCCCACCCCTCAAGTCGTCTAACAGGTGCATCACTTGGTCTTCTATGCACATGCCCAAACCGCCACAAACGAGACTCCTGCATCTTATCTTCTATAGGTGCTACTCCCACCTTTTGTCTGATTACCTCATTCCTCAAACGGTCTTTTCTGGTATGTCCACACATCCAACGCAACATACGCATCTCTGCCACACTCATCTTTTGAATGTGACATTGCTTCACCGCCCAACACTCTACGCCATACATTAATGTTGGCCTAATTGTTGTATGATAAAATTTAACTTTCAGTCTAGTCGGCATACCTCGATCGCATAGAAATCCCGAAGCACTCTTCCATTTCATCCAACCAGCTTTGATTCTATGGCATACATCTCCATCTAATTCACCATCCTTCTGAATTATGGAACCCAAGTAACGGAACATATTACACACCGGTATCTCCTTACCATCAAGAGTAATCCCACTGTTGCTACTACTTCTACCTCCACCGAACTTTCACTCCATATACTCAGTTTTGCTTCGGCTCAGTTTGAAACCCTTGCTCTCCAATGATTGTCGCCATACTTCCAACTTTGCTTTAACACCGGATTGTGTCTCATCAATCAATACAATATCATCGGAAAATATCATGCACCACAGTATATCTTCTTGAATTGACTTCGTAAGTTCATCCATGACTATAGCAAATAAGAAAGAACTCAGAGTAGATCCTTGGTGCACTCCGATAGTAATAGGGAACTCTGCGGTCCTCCCTACACTAGTGCGGACACTTGTAGTACAAGCATCATACATATCCATGATGATACTGATATACTTACGTGATATGCCTTTTCTAGTTAAGGCCCACCAAAGAACTTCTCGAGGTACCCTATCATATGCCTTTTCTAAGTCATTGAACACCAAATGCAAATCCTTTTTAGTGTCTCTACACTTCTCCACAACTTGTCTAAGAAAGTGAATGACCTCAGTTGTTGAGCGTCTAGGCATAAAACCAAATTGATTCTCTGAAATTTTCACACTTTTACGAAGTCTTTGCTCAACCACTCGCTCCCAAAGTTTTATGGTGTGACTCATAAGCTTAATCCCTCGATAGTTAGCACATTCTTGTACATCACCCTTATTTTTAAATAAAGGAATGAGAGTACTCTTCCGCCAACTCACTAGCATTTTGTTGTTTCTTCAAATCATGTTGAAGAAATGTGTTAGCCACTCGATGCTTTTCTCTCCCGAACTTCTCCAAGCCTCGATCGGTATGCCATCTGGGCCCACTGCTTTTTTCTGCCCCATTTTTCTCATAACCTCTTTAACTTCTGTTGTTTGAATCCTTCTCACGAAGTCCTGATTTACCATACACTCTGGTATAGTAAGATCATCAATACCTTGGACTTTATTCCCGTTGAACAAGGTATCAAAGTATGACCTCCACCTCTCTTTTATTTTTTCGTCGTCCATTAGTACCCTTTGATCGACATCCTTCACATACTTAACTTTTCCGATATCTTGAGTCCTACGATCATGAAGGTGAGCAAGTCTGTAGATATCTTTTTCTCCTTCCTTAGAGTCCAACTTTACATACAATTCCTTGTTCACTTTTCCTCTGGCTTCCTTCACAGCTTTCTTTGATCTTCTTCTAGCCTCTTTGTACTCTATGTTCTCGTCGCTCCAATTTTTGCCCAATTTCTTATATCATTCCCTTTTGGTCCTTATTCCTTGTTTCACCTCATCATTCCACCAAGACGTGTCCTTTTTTGGTAGCAGACATCTTTTAGATTCTCCGAGTATCTCCTTCGCCACTTTGTTAATGGTGGACTCCATTGATAACCACACATCATCCACATGTGCGTCATTATCAATAGACCATACATCTTTCTCCAACATTTTGTGTGCAAAACTTTGTGGGAGATTCCCCTCAACCCTCAACCATTTTATCTTTGGCTCCCCTTGTACCTTAACTCGTCTCCTCTTTTTACCTCGAAAATCAAGCACACGCATCCTATGCTGAGTGACAACAATCTCACATGGGATAACCTTACAATCAGTGTAGTTAGTTCTCCAAATCGTCCGTACTAAAAAGTAGTCAATTTGGGTACTATTAGCTCCACTTCGATAGGTGACAAGGTAAGTCTCTTTCTTGAACCAAGCGTTCATCACATCTAACTCATATGTCGAGGCAAAATCCAGAATGGTCTTCCCCGCTGCATTTCTAGTGCCAAAACCATGTCCACCACGGGTACTCTCAAAACCATCACGACTTAGGCCCACATGCCCGTTGAGGTCGCCTCTTATGACCAATTTCTCTCCCCTTGGCACTCGTCGCACCACTTCCTCAAGATCCTCCCAAAATTGTTGAGTGATAGATGCATCCAATACCACTTGTGGTACATAGGCACTTACCACTGGCACGATCTCATCCCTTATTATCAACTTAATGCTCATGATGCGATCATTCTTCCTAAAGATTTCAACCACACCGTCAACATAATCATGTGCCACCATAATGCCCACTCCATTTCTGTTCCTCTCTCTCCCCGATTACCAAAGCTTAAAACCTCCGGGATTAATCTCACGTGCCTTTTCACCAACCCACTTAGTTTCTTGCATGCACATTATGTTGATATTCCTCCTCTTCATAACCTTGGCTATCTCAAATGATCTTCCCGTATGTGGTTGGATTTTATTGGTAAAATGTGAATAAAGTAAGAATGAATTTGAACCACACAAATGTTACCGAATATGGTACGGGGCAAACTTAGTGGGACAAATGAAAAAGGAAAAAATGGGACACTCATAGTGGGACTTGCCGAGTACATACTAGTTGGCCCTTAGACCTTATCAAGTTGTTTACTCAGTCCAATTAAAGAACTGTGTTTCTCTAGGCGATTTTCACTATTTAGTGAGTCTGATTACTTTGAGAGTAGTTCAGTCATTGTTTAATGTGAAAGATTGAAAATAAAAATTGGGTCATTATGAGATTAAAAAGAACTTAGGGACTTCATTTTAATAGAATACTTTTTGAAAGCTTTAATAGTTCGTAAGACAAACTGATGAAGTTTCACTCAAGATGTGTTAGTGGACACAGCAGCATCGTTTTAAATTGCGCATTGCCTTGCTGCCTCAAGCCGTCCTTTTTCATTTTTTCCTTATATAAGATAAGATAGTAGGCGTATCTCATTTAAGCAATATATAAACCTGCATGATTGTAGCTAAGGCGTACCCCTGTTGCGTACGCAATAGGGCATTTACTGAGGCGCGCCTTCTGAAATGAAGCCCAAATATGCTTCAAATCTTACGTATGTAAGGTCTCCTGTGCCTTTACCTCTTCTGTGCACCTGTGGGGTTATTTCTTCTCTGTGGGACGATGGCTACAAGTGAAGACGGTTGCTGCAGGAGTGCGAGTCTGCATTCCAGCAGTTATGTGTGAAAGCTTATGTGAAGCTTGCATCAATTTTTAACTGCTGGTTGTGCATCAATTTTAATCTCTTTTCATATGATGCAAAGTACTTGATTTTACTCTGCATGGCTGCACCTGATTTCAAGAATAACTTAGCACTGTAGATATGGTTTCCATTCCATTAAAAAATGTATGGTTTCGATTATATGAGCAGCTGCATTGGACGAATGGTTTTAATGTTTTTTAAATTCTTTTCTCCACATATATATGCTTTGAACAAATTTTAAATTCTTTTCGTAAAATGCGTTGGATGGATCATGGGTGCTTTTATTTTCTATATTTGGGTGTTTTCTATATGTTAACATGGTCCTATTTCCGTCCTTCCTATTATGATATATACGATTGTTCTAATTTAACTTACAAGTAATAACATGAATATAGAGATGTGAAAAACTATACAATTAAGAATAAAACTCGACTCACTAATTAATGGTTTATCAACTAGATATACGTGTTGGTATAAAATATGAAATCTGATCTCTATTTCAAACGACTAGATACCTATGATTCACTTATGGACTCCTCAATCTAATAATCTTAGAATTTTAGTAGATTAGAAAATAATTGCTTTGTGTTATTGTCTCTCTCTTTATATAAACACAATTAAATAGTAAGAGACTTGTATCATATATTTTTAATACTCCATCCGTCCCGAATTGTAAGGCACTTAATGGCTTACGATGTTTGACCGACGTAAAGCAAACGGATCCCTTTCCGCACACAAATTATTTTTAGTAAAAAAGAATTAGATATTCAGAAAATAGATTAAAAGCTTTACAAAGTCGTAAAAACCAGAATCATATTTTATAAAAATTTGATATATAAAGTAAGGGATTAAGAGTGATTTGTGTTGACCAAGTGAATATGAAAAGTATCTTACAAAATGGGACGGGGGGAGTACTTTTACTAATATAGACAGAGTAGAGTAATCACCAGTTACTCCGGAGTAGCTGTCCTAGTCATTATGAGGCCTTTTTTCGAGTAGATACCGACTAACAAAGTAACATTTTGATTACATAGGCGCTACTTTTCCAGCCTTGTAAAAATTGATGGCCATATGCTTGAGTCACGGCCATCTAGATCAGATGTACTATTGTCAGTTAACCACTTTGCATTACCAGACACATAGTAACTTGTTGTTTATTATACTCAAATCCCTCAAACTGTTATAATGTTATATATATACTTATTTTAAATTTCCCAGGTTGAAGTCATGCCTGCTAATGAAAATGAGACATGCAGTACATACAAGGAGATGTATGTTCAAGTGTTGGCTGATACGTATGAGAAGGTTGATACAGCTGTGTCATTAGTCGAGCTTCTGGTCACCCCAGTCTCAGTGAGTGAAACAGCTATTTCCATAATCAAACAGTTAGTTAACAATTAATTTCCCTGTAGTTTGGTTGTGTCCACTTGTAATTAATATCATGTCCTGCTATTCTTTTAGATGAAGACAGGTTCTGAATCCAAGACTATTTCTAGTAATGATGGAAACATGGCTGCTGATAACTCAGGAGTGGTTCAACAGCCAATCATGGAGGGGTCTGATCTTGCTCTCTCACACGGTCATTTCCAGCAGGGCCCTTGGTTTCCTGGAATTCCATCTCAGAGTACACTACCAGGATCAATCCCCTCTACAGAACCTTTGGCAAACCCCTCAAATACACCACCCTCCCTCTTAAGCCAGAAGGGTATGGTTGCTAGATTTGGCTCAGTTCCTCAAAGCCATCCACTCACAATTATGGCAAGGTCAAATATGCCACATCTACTTTCACAGCAGCCCCTTCCTCCTATAAATTCTCTCACTGCTCTTCCCAATTCTGAAGCTCTTCATCGGACCCAAGTTTTTAGACCTGGTACTATGCCTAGCCAATTACAGCCCTTTGCCAATGCATGGAACTCGTTAGTTGTTCAAGGCGGTAATAATGCAATGCCAACAATTTCACCTTTAGCTCCCCCCCAACAAGGAGGAAGTAGCCATCCAATGGCCTCTATAGGACCGCCGCCGCCACCCCTAGGCTATGTACACGGCAGTATGCCTGGTTCTGCTATTAGCCAGCAGCCTGCTAATCCTTTGCTTCAATCTCAATCCGTAAGCCCTAACAACTCGGTTAAAGGAAGGACATTGAACTTTGATGCCATTCATCCTATTTCAATGGGTGCTCCAAGGCCACATCAGCAATCTGGTTCAAGTGATTTTATATTCCAGCCTCACCGACCAAATCAAGTTTTTCCAAATCCTGCTAATAGCCAATCTGACCCTCCAACTAATTTTGTACGACCCCCCCAATTATTGAATCATTCAGGTTATCCACCACCCCAGCCTCCACCCGTTTTTAGACCAGAAATCCGCAATTCAAATCCCTTGCATGTGATGCAAGGCTTCCCTGAAATAAACCGGATGGTTCAGCGACAACCGACGCCTGTTGGATTTTCTGCAGGTCCTACTGGCCCTTCACCTCCAGCAATAAGGCCGATGGCATTTCCAAATTCAGGCAGTCAACCTCCAGTTTCTTTCAGTCAGATGCAGCATCAGAGGAACTTCAGTCCATTGGCCAACCCTGGTAGCCCGTTTCCTCCACGAACGGGTAGTATGATGTTTCAACAGAATAGTAATCCAGGAATGATGGCTCACCCACCACATGAGTTCCGTCCAGGTAACCCTGCTTCTGGCACTCCGGGAATGCAGCAAAGATATGATCCCTTTTCACCAACATCTCTCTCGTAAGCTGTTTCCCATAACTAAAGTACAAAAGACACAATATGTGAAACATGTGGCCCGTCTTCTGTTTATCAAGTTCTAATTTTGTCAGATGGAAAGGTGAAGGCAGATCAGTGCCCTGCTATGCACACCCAATTCACACATTTGTATTTGTTAAGAATTGGGATACTTGCTGCGTTTGGAGGGTCAAACAGGTGCTTTCCACCGCAGGTGATTATACTACTCTAATTTCTACCTTGGGGTTAAACCTAGCTCCTTACCACCTAAAAAAGCCCTTCCACTTTAAGGAAAGACAAAAAATATGGAAAAGGTTCATTTAGTTTTGTTAACTTAGCTGGAATGCATCATACACTTGACATGGATTGAGAATGTTGGGAACTTGGGTAGACTGAATTTGTTGAAATCGTGACTGATATCTGAGTTTGTGGAATTATTGTAAAGCATTCTCAAATATTCTTTTGCACCTTTTTCATTGTCGGATACCAACTTGTTAAAACCCAAAATATAGGTATTGGTGATTTAATAAATAAATTGACTATTAACAAGGTTGTCAGTTATATACTTGTATGTGACTTGATGTCAAACCAGTTCTCTATAGAACTGACTAATGACTAGTTACTGCTTGAAGGTTATTATACTCGCACAATAGCTGTACCTAAAAATTTCTTCTCACATACTTCAGTTCATATTTACCGTTAAGATTGTCCCATTTTACCTTTTCGGGAAATCCCACTAAGATTGTCCCATACCAAATTTGGTAAAGTTTGTGCGACTTTAAATTATTTTTACTTTATTCTTACTTTATCAATTTAATATCAATCACACAAACTCATTTTTCTTAATAATCGGAGTTTTTTCTCGGAATAATGCTTCTAATTAAATAAATAATTTCCAAAATATTGATGAGTTTAAAATAATTCCTAAAATACTGCTGGGTTAACCGTGGTTAAGAAAAGCCGCCACTTGAAGTGATGACTTCTCTTATAGTACAAAAGCTTCCACTTGGAGTGGTGGGTCTTCTCTTACGGCCCATTTTATACATATATAAAATGCAGTATGTCTCAAGAATTTGTTTAACTGCCTTTCGGATTCAATTTTGAGCTGAAATTTGGTATGCATAAACTAGACTTGATGAGGAACATGTTCAAAAAATTTCATCACAAAATTCCACCGGAACAATCCTTTGATGGTGTTTTCCGCGGGGGGTTCCGGTCAGGATGTCATGACAAAAGGGTGTTCCGGCTAGGTGTGGATTCGAGCCGGGCCAGGTTCGGGCCGGTGGGTCTGAATAGGTGGATCCGGGACCGGCCCGGGTAGCCACCGGGTCTGGGCCGGGCCTCGGGCTTGGTAGCCCTCCTAAACATAAATCCCAACCCGGGTGGAGCCCAAACAAATGAAAAAACAAAAAAAAATCAATTTGGCCCGAACCGGGTTGGGCCTTGGTTTGGGTGACCTGAGCCCGGACTGGAAACCCCTTGAGTTGGGTCTACCCGGATCGGTCACTGATTGGGTCACCGGTTTGGGTTGGGCCGGAACAGTGCTGGTCCCGGGCCGGGCCCGGGTCGGGCCACCCGGCCCGAGTCCACCACTAGTTCCGGCCACTTCAATTTGAGGTGGTTCTCGGTGGTATGTTTTGATGAAATTTTTTGTGCATGTTCTTCATAAAATCTAGTTCATTCATATCAAATTTTAGCAAAACATTCAATCCGAAAGGCCATCAAATGATTTTTGAAAGATAACTACGCCGGATTATACATATAAAACGCAGTTATCTTTAAAAAATCATTTAGCTATTTTCCCGATTGAAATTTGTTCTGAAGTTTGGTATGGATTAACTAGATTTAATGAATAACATACACAAAAAAATTCAGCAAAACATCCCACCGGGAACCACCCCAAATTGAGGTGGCCGGATCACCCTTTTGTCATGACGTCCTGACCAAAACCTCCGAGAACAACATCATCGGAGGGTGTTTCCGGTAGATTTTTTTAATGAAATTTTTTGAGCATGTTCCTCATCAATCAGGAAGGCAGTTAAACAAATTCTTGAAACATACTGCGTTTTATATATGTACAAAATGGGCCGTAAGAGAAGGGCCGCCACTCCAAGTGGCGGCTTTTGTACTATAAGAGAAGAGCCGCCACTTCAAGTGGTGACTTTTCTTAACCACGGTTAACCCAACAGTATTTTGGGAATTATTTTAAACCCAACAATATTTTGGGATTTATTTATTTAATTAACATTATCCCGGGAAAAAAACTTTGATAATCATGCCACCTTTCTTTGTCCCAATCTTAGTGGGACGGAGGTAGTACTTTTTTGGGACATCTAAAAAATTCTTTCCATTTCCATTTTGAAAAGTTTCGTGTGACTAATTTAATCATAATCATATATTTCTACTTTATTTTAACCTTTTAAAACTCTGATTCAAGTCAAACTAGGAACAATTTTATGAAACAGAGGGACTACAAGATTAGATATTCACGGATAAAAAGGTTTGATCACTAAACTTTTTACGATATACAAATCCAGCGTATTAGTTATATGTGATTTAAAAAATGTGTCTAATTTTCTTGTGTTTAATTATTTATGGGCAAATTTCTCTTCAGGAGCAAATTGAACTAGGCATGGACTCGGTGAAGGCCAGTTTTGACCAGGCTTTTTTTGGGAACCTTGAGGCCCCGAACCGGCCTAGGTAGCTACCGGATCCAATTCGGGCCGGCCCGGCCCGATTTCCTTTTTTTTTCTAATTACTTCCTACCCCCACCCTCCCACACCCCAAACCTGTCCAAAACACCCAGCTCAATCCCTTTACCTTTTTCAAATTTTGAAAAATAAAAAAAAAAATGGCCCGAACTGGCCGGGCCGGTTCACGATTTTGGAGGCTCGGGAACCGCCCCTCAACAGTAGCGAGTCGGGTGGCCCGAACTGGCCATCTACCCGGGCACCGGGCCTGGCCGGGCCGTAACAGTGCCGAGCTGGGGCCGCTGGGCCGGTTACGGGCTGGTTAACCCGGCCAGAGTCCATCCCTAAATTGAACTATTTGGAAATTACATTTTTTAATATTATGGAGTTTAATGCATCAAACCTTTTGTTGTTATCTAAATTTGAAGCATTAGGTTCATTGATTTTAAAAAATGTCTTAAATTCCCATGTATTATAATTATTCATGTTCAAAATTCCTTCTATGAACAAATTTAATTGTTAAGTAAATGAAAAATGATTAATACTTTGCATAGCATATCCAATCATCATAATATTAAGACAAGTGATTCCTAGATTTTAAATTTGTTTTTAGACATGATTTTGTTCATGAATAATTATAAAATAGGGGGTTTGATATATTTTTTAAATCACTTGGACTAATGCGTCAAATTTATATATCACAAATAGGTTTGATGCATTAAACCTTAATATTATGATTGAATATGCAAGTAAATTTGTCAAGATCTCTAAATTATGAAAAATACTAATCATTTTCCATTTATTTGGTAATTAAATTTGTTCACATGAATAATTATAACACAAAGAAGTTTGACACTTTCATATCACGGAGGCTAATACGCTAAATTTATACAAGTATATCATGAGGGGTTTGATGCATTAAACCCATGGATAAAATTACAAAAAAGACACTGTCACAGATTCATAGTTTTGCGGCTTCATTTTACAGTATCAGTAGTGCTACTGGCTGGTGGCAGATGGGATTCATAGTTTTGCGGCTTCAAGTATTACTTCCGTTCCAAATTGATTTGCAAATTTGATCTTTCTTGATCAAACAGTTTCATTTTAATCGCTTAATTAGGATGTGAACCTTTAATTATATTCTAATTTGAAGGGATTTTAATGTAGTTTCTGAATATGTAAATTTTAGTTATTAAAAATTGAATTAATTATCAATAAGAAGGTTTGACTTTTATTATGGGTTGACAAAAAAATGTTGACTTTGCAAAACGATTTGGGACGGAAGGAATACTATGTATTATCCAATACTAGTTAGTTTAGACGATAGAGTAGACTTGGACTCGGGCCGGTGGTTTGTGAATGGTGGGCCCGGGACCGGCCCGTGGTAAAGGCGGTTCTGGTTCGGGCCGGGCCACCCGCCCGGGTCATGGGTCGGGCCACCCGCCGGGCCGGGCCGGTTAAATACATATATATTTTTTTATAATTTATACTTTATAGTTTTATAAAAATGTATATAAAAATATTAGCAAATGTGGAGATCGGAGAAGATGTGTATAAAAATGTTAGAAAATAGGAGTATTTATAGAAATTTTTTAAACATATAAAAAAGGGAAAAGACACAAATAAGCCCTCGAACAAACCGAAAATGTGCAAATCAGCCTTTTTATTGGAGGCTCTGTCTGATCGTCACCATTTCGGGCGGTTAACGGGGGAATTTTTTGATGAATATTTTGGAGCATCTTCTTCATTAAGTCTAGTTTACCCATACGACTTAATGAAGAAGATGTTCAAAAAATTTCATCAAAAAATTTCACCGGGAACCGCCTCCAATGACGACGGCCGGACAGAGCTTCCTATAAAAGGGGTTATTTGCACTTTTTCGGTTAGTTCGAGGTCTTATTTGCCCCTTTTCCCCAAAAAAATGCTACATATAAAACAAATGAACGTATATTTATTTGAAACATGAACTACAAGTTTACAGGTTACAATTGAAGGTAAACTTAAAACATGAAATAGTGAAATACTAATCAATCGGAATCTCCGTAATAGGTAGAGGCGTAGAGCCACGCTCGGTTGTAGATTCATCCATAAAGTGTTGGGATGGGGTGATGTCAATTTTCTTGAGCTCTACGGGCCGCCTTCAACCAATCGTGGTAGCATATAAGCATCTCAAGAGATTCTGCGCTCAACCTCGTTCTACATTGCGTTAGGACATTGTCGGCCGAACTAAATTCTTGTTTGACGACAACTGTTGAAACCGGCATTGATAGCACTTGCTTAGCCATCTTTGCTAAAATCGGGAACATTCTTTCTTTTCCCTTCCACCAGTTTAGAACGTCAAAGTCATCATCTTCTTCAAAATCGACATCATATGTTAAATACAAAGAAATCTCATTAATTGTGCTTTGTTGAGTAGCGAGTGTTGTTTTAGTTTTTTTAATAAGATTGGCAAATGTAGATTTCAAAATTTATTTTTCTTTAGATGAAGAGATTTGTGTTGGGGGAGGGGGCACATTGCCATATTGTGCATGAAACTCATTAAATAATGCATAAAATATATCACTAACCTCGTTGTATTCTTTTTTCGGATCAATTGGGTTGTCGTCATACATTAGCATTGGACCAAAAAAAGCAGCATAATAATTCAAACATTCTTCTAAAGAACCAAGTCTAAAACGAGGATCGAGAACAAATGCAATACCATAAATATGCGGAATATGTGAATAATATTTTAAAAACTTTTCCTTCATAAAACTAGCAAAATAACTCACATAATCGACATTCTCAAAATTTGAAAAAGCACCGGCGAGATTAACCGCTTCACGAATAAATTGGTTTGAGGTAGGTTTATAAACACGACTAAAAGTTTCAGTTGCATTATTAAAATATACCAAAGGATTACAAATTTTTTCGCAGGTGTCGATCTCAATCGAGTTTATAATATAGTTATCA